AAGAAAGAAAGAAAGAAAGAAAGAAAGAAAGAAAGAAAGAAAGAAAGGAAGAAAGGAAGGAAGGAAGGAAGGAAGGAAGAAAGAAAGAAAGAAAGAAAGAAAGAAAGAAAGCCTAACAATGGATATTAGATTATTCCATCCTAGTAACAAGTATTTATAATGGAAGCAACACAATGTTAAAGGCTTTGTGTGGCACAGTAGTACATTTAGCGGGTGCTGTGATGAACAGGACACTGTAAGGGAACTGTGCCAGGAGAGGTAAGGCATTTTGTTAATAAAAGATGAGCTCGATATTACATGTGAATAAATCTTCTGTAAAATAAAGCCATTAGAGCTAGCAAGAAATATTACTCAATTGTACAGTAGCAGACAGTTCAACTAATGCAGCTGCTCTAGATTTGACCCTCAGCCAAGTGAGACCTTATTCTGTGAAATGCTGTAGGACAAAGGAGTCCTGATTTAGTACCAAAATCTCACAGAAGCCTATAATCTAGAACTGTTTTTTAGGTGCCTACCAAAATTCTGTCAATGTTTAAGCAGATTTATGCAAGACCAGAGAGCTGCGGAGTTTTCTTTCTTTTTTCTTTGGAAAACCTTATGTGTAATGGTGACATCATTAGCATGTTCACAGATCTCTTCTTACCAATGGAATCAGCAGGGCTATGATATGCCTCCTGACTCTTTTGGGTAATGTTTTAAATACTGACATCAGTTACTGCAGTAAACTGACTGGAACATACAGCTGTGCGTCTTTGTAGGTTTTGTGCTTCCATTGTCTTGAAACAAACACACTGGTGCCTGAAGTTATACATGTTTTGGAGAGTCATATGTTTCTCCCATAGCCCCAGTTAGTTCTGGAGAAAAGTGGTGTTTCTTTGACACAGCTTTTGAAAATACAACTACTTCTTGTAAAATGAAACTTTATTCTAAAATGTATCCAAAATTGCAAGACACAAGCACCATTAAACAGATAAATAGACATATATTTATGTACAGAGAGCATCAAAACACAAAACAATTGTTAATATAATTCTTATACCATTTTAATGAGTATCCATCAATAAAACTTTACAATTTAAAGGAGACTTTTCAGTTGCAAAACAGTTGTAAAATCATATGTATAAATTATGTTTACTACAATTCCAATAACAGAGGCAAAGTAAAATACAAAAATAATAATCAATACTGCAAATTCAAATACAAAACCCAAAGTAATGCTGCACAGGTACGTACGTACACTGGATGAATTCATGCAGCTAGGCAGTGCAACAAATTAACTGCTTAGTTTAACTTATCACAAAGTGGAACAACCATGTCGGCAAACAGAAGAAAATATATTTTTGTAATAAATCATAGTGCATTTTGAAGTTAGACTTTATAAAATGATTGTTGAGTGATATACTTCTAAAATCCCCCATGTGATCTGAGATTCCCCAACTCCTCTCCTGCAAAATAAAATACAAATGACAAAAGCTAAAAAACCCACTGTAGTACAGAGTCTGATGTACTGGTACCATGTTGATTTCTTATCCTTGGTATCAGACTTGTTTGCAAGAGTCCACGTCCCTAGGGACATACATTACTCCTTGCTATGTGAAAAGTAAATCTTAAACGTTCAAATGCTATCCCCATTAAGTTGAATCTCACATGATGCGTAGACTGTGCTGGTTTAGAGAGACACAGCTGAGCCTTGAGAAAATAACTCTTAAATCCCTACAAATTACAGAGAGAGAGAGTAAAACGGAGGACAGAGAGACCTCTTCATTACCGAGGTTCCTATCCCTAATTGCTTTGATTACACATACACAATAACATAAAAGGCTTTTATGGCTTGGATGAAATTTCTTCGAATTTGCTGGGCAAGCGGAAAGCCCATGTTTCTCCACAGAGCTTGCCTTTCACAGTGTAGAAGGCTACGGACTGTTTTGGTTGGTGAAAGGAAGCCTCAGTAACTGCATGGAAAGATACTTCCACAGTGAAAATGCTTTAGAGATAAGGAAACAAAATCAGAACAGAACCTTATGAAAACTTGTGATTTCTTGTGTAGCTGTGATACTAAAACATGGCTGTTCACCTTTCAGTTTTGCGTTGTTTGGTACTTCATGATCAAAAATAGTTAAATGAGAGGCTCATGCCTCATCAAATGTTACTGGTTAGGTGTCTAAGTTAGATGAGATACAATTACACAGTCTGACGCTTTTTCCTAAAGTCTTAAGTGATAAGCACGCTCAGTGTTTTCACTAGGAAGTCACTGCTAATGCTACATTTCTTTGCTGAGAAGACATTAATGCACAGCAGCCTGTAAACTACTGAGGAGTTGCTCCCTGCATCCTTTGTGCATCCACAACTCCCTTTCAAGCCAATGATAACTTTCGTGTTAATAAGTTTCAAGCAAACAAGGGATGCAGGAAAACACTTGTATTGGGTAAACAAGGTAGCAATTTATACAGCAGCATTTCTAAATTTTCAACATGCAAGCACATGTAGAGAGAAGCTAAGGGACAGCATGCACTGCAGTGATATGTCATTGTGCTTATGTCTGGTGGAGAACACTATGGCGTTTTCACCTGGGAAAACATAAACATTAGACCCAGAAGATTCAAATAGCCAGTATTAATGAAGCCATCAGCTACTATGTAGTAAAGAATACCCCAAAGGTTTGTCCGCTCATAGCTTATAGATACTGAAGCTGAAGAGAATTACAAAGGCACAATACAAGCCTATATTTCTTGTAAATTATATATATTCATATATTTTGCTCAAACCACCTCAAGATACTGAACGATAAAATATAACTGAAAATATAAACATTAATTGAAAGTTAAGCACTAAAAATAAATGCTTGCTGGAGAAGATAGCTCATTACTTGCTACATTTCAACACTTCCCCGGTGCTAATCTTGTTCACATCTCCTCCATGGCTGACAAAACCCATCAAGATGTTCAAGAATATGGTGATCCACTGAGAAAAATGCAAGAGTATCAGGCAACAGACAAGAACGGCTGTATGCATCTGAAAAGTTGTCCATAAGTGGCTACCACAGTTACCTTTGTCACTGCCACTGCTTTACTTTTGGCCCAGAATTCACTAAGGACCCAGAAGCAGGAACAGAAAAAATCATGGAGGGATGAGTCTAGGGTAATTCTCAAAGATAGTATTTTGGTTCAGTTCAGCACTTAAAATATGAAACAGCAGAGCAGGGATTGTACTAGCGTTATCGTAAGAAGCATTTCTCAGTTTTTCTATTCATAGCTACACAAGATGCTTATCATTTTCAACACCAAATAACCCACAACTCTGAAAATATAGCAAACATACTTATACCACTGCTGTTAGACTCATTAAAATATGAAAAATAAATTACACCTACATTTGAGTGATGAAATTATATGGCAACTTTGGAGGCAGCCGCTCTTTGGAGGCTCAGCTGAGACAATGTGGACACTTCATGA